GCCCGAGGAGCCCGAGGCGGACCAGCACCTCTTGCCCCCTGCGCTGCCGGCCAGTGCCACCTCCCTAGCCTGTGAGTGCTGCTCTCCCCGTCCCCGGCTCTCCTGCGGGTGTGGGGTTGGCACAGGAGGGCTCTTCCCGAGAGGGCGTGGCAGCATCCCCAGTGCTGCACAGAGCTCTCTGCCAGCTCCTCAGGACAGGGGCACAGACATGCAGGTCCCCCAGAGCTGCCGTGCCAGGCCGTGGGTGTAGCAGCTCCAGTGGCTCCTCATCCATGGGAGGGTACCGGCGGCAGCATGGGGCCCTGGGCTCAACACCGGGTGGGACGTCTGTTCAGGGCAGGGCATCCGAGGGCCGCCAGCCGAAGGTTGAGTGGTCGTGCTGTGTGACCTTTGTCCTGAGGAGTGTCTGTCCCCAAGGTGACCTGCCTTCTAGTGTCGAACCTTGAGACCACGTGTGTTACCGGTGGGCAGTGGGGTCCGTGTGTACCTGGCTCCACCCAGGCCTTTGGACCAGAGCAGCGTCTCCTGCAGATCCAGGCAGGAGCGGGCCTGCCTTGCCCTCCGTGCCCACGTGCTGCTGTGGCCGAGGCGGGGCAGACTTCCTGTCTGGAGAAGCACAGAGTTGCCGGGCAGCACTGTGGGCTGCGGTTGGGTTGTGTGCGTGGGGAGGTGGAACAGTCTGAGTGACGTATTGGACAGGCACACCCTCCATTTACCGTTAATGCAGCGGGATCGTTTTCAGAGCAGGCTCTTTAAGCTGAAAGCAGTGGCTGGTGTCACTGTGAGACAGTTAGCTTACTGTTTGCTTCCTTCCCATCCTCCTCAAGTTTGTTGTGGAGAATAAAACCGCTGTAGCATCTTACTCCATGTTTTTATAAACCAAATCAATCAATCGACGTGCATAACTTTGAAGGAAAAGGCGCACACACTCTGCAAATGTACTCGTTAGCTGCACGGTTTCTGGGACGGGAAGGGGGAGGTTGCCTTTTGTCACATTCGCAGAGGATATACACGAAGCCAGTGAGCGTCCTCGCTGGGCCGCTGATGCCCGCTAACTTCCCGAGACAGCCTGCACGCGCGGTTACTCACACCCACACTGCACACTCGGCTCCCGCCACAGCACCTGCACACTCAGCACCGCACTCGGCCAGAGCAGGGAGCCCACGCACAGCCGTGCCTCTGGCCGCAGTGCCCACGGACAGACCGCTGGACAGACAGGGGCCCAGGCAGCACCCCGGAGAAAGGACTGGATCCTGGGAAGCAAAGGGAAACACATGCACCCGCACCCATCGGGAGGTGCCGCAGGTGTGCCCGCGAGTGCCTCGTGGGCCGTGACCGCCACCGCAGCTCCGATCGCGCTCCATGCAAGGAGGCGTGGCCCACTCCCCAGACGTGAGAGTGGGATTCATCAGTAGTTTAAATCTCTTTTTAAAATTTGATTTTTAGCTATACAAAGAATAGACATGCCCACCTCAGAATTTTGGGAGTTACACACATGGCTCAAGCTGCTGTACGTGAGCCTTGTCGGGTCTCTTCCCGTCCTCCATGCAGCTCTCTCCGTCTGTCTTCCTCTGTGTCTCTCTTGTGAACTCCTTTTCCATCTGTCTGTCTCTTTCTCTCTCTCTTTGTATAAGTGGAAATGACTGCCAGTCACCTCATCACAAACCAGAGCCGCTTGTCTGGTTGCTTTTGCACAGTCCCCTTCAGCATTCTTCTGTCTTCCTCGGTCAAAATAAGTCCTAATCAGTCCTGGGGAAAAATTATTTTTATATACAAAGTTGAAAAGATACCCCTTTTACTTTATTTGTTTAAATAATATTGCCAATCTGAACAGTGGCCCCCTGTAGAAATAGCTTGGTGTACATCCATGACAAATTGTAATGTTTGTGTAGCTTTTGGAGTCTGGTAGTTATGGACTGGGAGTGCCGTTTTAAACGGTTTTTGAACCTTTGGTCAGATGAGCCGGTGGGCCATGTGGGTCCTGTCTGCTCCCTTCACAAGCCCCGCCCCCAGGTGTGGGCAGCTCCGCCCACTGGCCATGTCCCAGGCCATGCGGGCCGACTGCAGGAGAGGCCGCAGAGCCTCCGGGGCCCCTCTCATGGCCTCTGTGGGGTGAGGGCCTTGTCAGCCCCGTTTTCCAACCAAGGTAGACCCGGCCTGTGACTTGGGGTTTGGACCCAGACCTCCTGCTTCAGACCCTGAAACTGTAGGTGAAGACGGTCAGGGTCTTCGAACCCCCATCATGAGACACAGGTGACCGCTGACCAGAGTCTTCCCGGACGCGGTCATCCGGCCTCCCGAGACCCTGCGCCCTTGCAGGGCTGGACGAGGGCTTACTTCAAGGCCGGGCTGGCGCTGTGAGGCCCCGTCCAAGCCAGGGCGGGGGCAGCTGCCCGGCCTGTGCGGACTGTGTGAGGTGCCCTGGGATGTGTGGTGGCCTCGGCAGCTCCCCAGGTGTCAGCTGTGTGGGTGGGCCGCCAGGGCCGTCTCGGGGTGCAGTTGGCCCCTTACGGCTCTGTCGCTGATGCACATTCGTTGCTTATACCCCCTGGAAACACAAGCCTTCTCCCAGGAGAAACGTCCGGACGAGCTGCGTGTTCGTGGGAACCCACGTTTGCCTTCCCGGGGCCTGTGTGGCGTGTCACGGGGGTGGCGTTTGGGGGCCCCACTCTGAGCTGTGCTTTTGTCCTCCCTAGCGGACAGCACGTTCGACAGCGGCCAGGGCTCCACCGTGTACTCGGACTCACAGAGCAGCCAGCAGAGCGTGGTTCTGGGCTCACTGGCAGATGCCGCCCCACTCACCGCCCAGAGCGTGTGCAGCGCCCCCGTGAGCGTGAGCGTGAGCGTGAGCGAGGGGCTCGTCCTGACACACAGCCTGCCCTCGCTGGGGGCCTACCCGCAGCCCGCCACGGTGAGTCAGTTTGGCCCCGCCCCAGGAGCCCGTCCACGCGGCCTGGAGCCGGGGATGGGCCCTCGGCCCTGCGGCCGTGCTCAGCTCCACCTGCCTGAGCGGGTCCACGGAAGGTCCGTCTGTGCCGGGAAGTGCAGGCTGCAGGCTGGAGGCCTGCCGGCGAGAAATACAGAAAACAGCCAGTGACCCCAGTGTGAGGCCTGGAGGTGCCTGAATCGTGAGAAATGTTTTCAGTGCCGTTTGAGAAGCGGATTAAAAGGGCTCATGCGTTTGAGGACTAATTTGTAATCCTCCTAGGCGAATGGAAATGGCTAGGTAAAGGGTCACATTTGGCATATATTTTTTAACCAGGGGCCCAGGGCATGAATTTGTGCACAGGTGGGGCCCCTCGGCCTGGCCAGCAATCGGGGCCAGTTGGGGCCAGCGGTCGGGGGAGGGACCGCAGGAGGTTGACCGGCAGTGGAGGTTGGCTGTGGGAGCGCACTGACCACCAGGGGGCAGCCCCTGCATTGAGCATCTGCCCCCTGGTGGTCAGTGCAAATCATAGCGATCGGTTGTTCTGCCATTTGATTGATTTGCATATTAGCCTTTTATTACATAGGCTTTTC